ACCTCACTTAAGAAGATGGTTCTATTTAACTAGAAATGTCTCAAGTTTATCCCTTTTTAAAAATAATTTTAATGAGAAACAAATAGCAACAACATTTTATGAGAGAGTAGCACTCTATTTTTTTTTAAAGAAACCCACGTCTTTATCCATTTATCAATTGATGGGCATTTGGATTGATTCTAAGTGGGTATTATTTCCATGTGTTTATGAAGTTCTTGTGGATTCTTTTCCAGTGGTTTCCAGTGTCACTGCACTGTGGTCTGATAAAATGCATATTATCAATTCTTTGGCATTTACTTAAGCATATTCTAGGAGCTAATATGGAGTCTATTTTGGAGAATGTCTCATGCACAGTGAGAAGAATGTGTATTCTAATGTTCTGGGGTGAAACACAATGTATACATCTGCTAAGCCAATTTGTTCATAAGTGTGGATCAGTTCTGATATTTCAATGTTAATATTTTGTGTAATTGTTCATTTGTGAAAGTGTGGTATTGAAGTCCCCCATTACAATTTTATTAGTGGCTATTTGATTTTTATGCCCACTAAAATTTGTTTTATATAGTTAAGTATACTGATATATATACATAATATATTTGTTCTCTTTCTCTTGGATTGTTCCCTTCATAGGAATTTCGTGACTTTCTTTATCTCTCTTAATCAGTCTTGATTAGAAATTTGCTTTGTCTGCAAATTGAATAGCTACCCCTGCTTTCTTCCAGGTTCCTGTCACATGGAGCAGTTTTCTGTCATTTGACTTTTAGCTTATTATTTTCTTCCAGAATTAAATATTTCTAGCATGCAATATATTTTTGGATCTTGCTTATTGATCCATTCTACTAGTCTTTTTCTTCTGATTGGTGAATAACACTGATTCTCTTTTATTCCCCTTGTTTGATCTTGACTTGCCTGCTGCCTTCATTTTGTTGGGGTTCATGTTATCTCTTGCTAGAATGTCCTTCAGAATATTTTAGATGTCTAGTTTAGCAGTCATGATTTTCCTCAGGTATTCTTTGTCGTAAACTAACTGATTTCTCCATCAACTTTTGAAATCAGTTTTGTGGGGCTAGAGAGATAACTCAGCAGCATAAGCACCTGCCTGGCAAGTACAAGTTCCTGAGATCAATCCCTGATACCACACACACACACCCAAAAAAAAGTTTGGCAGGGTTCATTAATCTGGGATAAAGGTTGTTTTAAGACTTGAAATACATCACTTTAAGCTCTCCTTGACTTGAGGGTTTATATTGAGAAGTCTTCTGCAGTTCTGGTGGACTTTATATTAATTTACTTTTAGGGCTGCCCTGATAGCTCAGCAGGCTAAAGCGCCTGCTTAAGCAGAACACAGTGTCCGGGGTTCAATTCCTGCATTCTGTGCCAGCCCTACCTTCAGGGTGCACTGAGACTGTGACTGAGACTGAGCGTGGTGGTTCACACCTGTAATCCAAGGACTTGAGAGGCTGAAAACAGGAGAATCACTACAAGTCCGATCTATGTAGTGAGATCCTGTAGACCCTGTCCTAACAGAAAATAATAATTATTTTTTGTTCTATTTTGTTTTCTCTAGCAGCTTTTAATATTGTTTTTGTGCTGCATTTCTAGAATCTTGACTACTATATGCCTCAGTGTAGATTTTTTTGACCATGGGTAATTAGACTT